CAGCACAATGAGAAGCACTTTTAAATATACTTAGAAGACAACCAAGAAAATTTCAAATTTTGAACTTGGGACTTGGTAATAGTAGACATTGCAAGGTAAACTGCCTTTCTTAGCAGGAGACCTAGTAGAAGGCCTGACTTTTACATATGAAATGAACTGTCTTAGGGTTTCTGTTGCTGTGAACCATGACCATGGCAACTCTCATAAAGGAAAGCATTTAACTGGGGCTGGCTTACAGTTCAGAGGTTTGGTCCGTTATAATCATGGCAGGGAGCGTGGTGGCTGGGGTATGGCAGCATTCAGGCAGACATCATGGTGGAGAATTATATATTTTGATTCAAAGGCAACAGGAAGTGAACTGTCTTACTGGGCATGGCTTGAGCATATATAAGACCTCCAAACCCACCTCCACAGTGACACACTTCCTCCAACAAGACCAAAAGGCTACATCCCCTAATGGTGCCACTCCCTTTGGGGGCCATTTTCCTTCAAACCATCGCAAGGACTGACCAGAAAACTGCAGGCTTGGGAGGAGGACAGGGTTTGTTAAACTGATAAAGTCACAGTTAGCTGTCAGCACCGTCAGTCCGAGAAGGATAAATTAGAGCAGGAAGTTAATTCAAATGGCTTCTATATCAGCTGTAATGACAGAGACTTACTAGCTACCTGAATGGTTAACCTGCGCTTCTGTGGTGATCCCAGTGGCTTTGTTGGTGTTCAGCTGTCACACAGGACAACATTAAATCCTCAGCCTTCAGCTGCCAGACCCAGAAGGTCTCGGGTTTTCCTGTGGAGGAGGGACTTGGAAAAACTAACCCACTTTAGCAAGGCAGAGTAGAGCTCTCAACCCACCAATGTCCAGTTTGGGCAGAGCCCTGTCGGTGGATGAGGCCTGAGGCAGTTCTTTTTACAGTAGTTAGTACTACCTACCACAGTCTGGGTGGAGTCACCGCCTCCTTTGGAGACCTCACAGTCACTGCTAGGAACTGGCATTTCTGTGTGTCACAGGAAGCTTTTTTTTTTTATTAAACAGTTGAAATACCATATTCAGCATACCTCTGAAGAGTTAGAGGCCCATTATCTATTAACACATTCCATACAGCTCACGAGTTTCCCCTTGCTTCTCGCGCTGTCTTTTAAGGACCACTCATGAGTGTTCTAGAGTGTTATTTTTCATATGCCATCTGTTGTAACCTTAGATGTCAACACACTATCTTGTCCACATCAAATGAAGCGATTTCACTGGTGGAAATCATGCAAGTTGATCTACAAAAAACTATATAATTGCACGAACCCATAAGGCACTATAATTGCATTGTGTTTTGGTCATTCGAATAGTCTTCATCTTCAAGTTCCTGACACTTTTAGAAATGTCCTCTGTCAGGAAAAGATTTTGGTTAAGATTGCATTGAGTCCTGCAGATCAGCAGGGGAGTGTTGCTGTCGGAACAACGTTCTGTCTTCTCATCCATGAAAATGAAATCTAATAGGTCTCCTCCTCCCCATTTATATATGAGTTATATATAAAGTTATATTTATATATAACAGATGGGTGAGTGGTTAATGCCTACCACGGTGTGCATGTAGAAGGCAGGACAGTCTTTGCGTGTTTACCTTTCCACCTTAAGACAGGGTCTCTTTGTGGTGATATAAAGCAGGTGGTGCCGGTCCTTTCTGTGCTGTGCATGCTTCTTGAGGTTCACCTGTCCAATCTCTCCCTTCCTGGAGGTGTGCTAGAATTTCAGCCACTTATACTACTGCCTCCAGCTTTTACATGAGTTCCGAGGATCTAAACTGAAGTCGGTATGCCTGTGCAGTGAGTAGTTTTACCCACTGAGCTGTCTTCCCCCATCCTTACTTAGTTCTTCTGATTTATTATTTGTTTTGGTGGCACAAGGGATCAATCCTTGCCAGGAATGATGGCACATAATCTCAGCACTCAGGAGGCAGAGCAGGAAGATCACAAGTTTAAGAACATTGTAGACCACGTCATGAGTTCTGGTTGAATCTAGCTACATAGCATAACCCTGTCTCAAAAAGGGGAGGGGGACTGGAACAATGTCTCAGCAGAAGAACACTAATTGCTTTTCCAGAGGACCCAGGTTCAGTTCCCAGCACCTACATGATGGCTAACAACCATTTGTAACTCCAGTTCTAAGAGATCCAGTGCTCTCTTTCTGGCTTCTGTCTGAATCAGTCACACACATGGTTCATAGATGGGCAAACACCATATACATAAAATAAGATAATTTTTAGTTAAAAACAAAGAAACACAGGAACCCAAAGAGATATATGAACCCAGGACTTAGAACATTCTAGACAAGCACTGTACCATTGAACTATATCTAGTCCTGATAAGCCATATTTGTTTTACAGTTGCAGAGTAGCGTTCAGATAATAGACCAACTGTTTCATGGAAATTGTATCACAGTTGAAGACAACTGTCTCTCCAGGGCAGTGGTTGTACACACTTTTAATCCTGGCTCTTAGAGGCAGAGGCAGGCAGATCTCCGTGAGTTCTTGAACAGCCAAAGCTACACAGTGAAACCCTGTCTTGAAAATCAAACAAAAAAAAAAAAGAACTGTCCCATATAAAGCTAATCAACTATGATGTATACCAAGAAGAACTTGCTTCAATTTCCATGCCAGTTCATAATCTTACCAGGAAAGATAAATGGCTCTTGAAAATACCTCTAGGACAGTGTTATCTAAAGCCAACATACATGCTAATGCCCTACAAGGGACTCTACACAGCCTTCCATCCTAATCATTGTGGGGATTTTAATTTTTAACTTTTTAAAAATATTTATTTATTTATTATGCATACAATATTCTGTCTGTGTGTATGTCTGCAGGCCAGAAGAGGGCATCAGACCTCATTCCAGGTGGTTGTGAGCCACCATGTGGTTGCCGGGAATTGAACTCAGGACCTTTGGAAGAGCAGGCAATGTTCTTAACCACTGACCCATCTCTCCAGCCCCTAAGTTTTAGCTTTTTGAGACAGGGTCTCATATAACCCAGCTAGCCTTACACTCTTTTTTTTTTTTTTTAGATTTATTTATTATGTATACAACATTCTGCCTCGATGTATACCCGCACACCTGAGGAGGGCGCCAGATCTCAGTACAGATGGTTATGAGCCACCATGTGGTTGCTGGGAATTGAACTCAGGACCTCTGGAAGAGCAGCCAGTGCTCTTAACCTCTGAGCCATCTCTCCAGCTCCCTAGCCTTACACTCTTGATCTTCTTGCCTCTGCCTCCCAAGTACTAGGATTGCAGGTATGTGTCACCATACCCTGCTTTGTAGTTTTGTTTTCTTTGAGAATGAGTTGTGTCCAGGAATATTAAATGAATCATAGACAAAAAAAAAAAAAAAAACACTTTACCTTTATCTTCATATTCTTTGTGTCACTTCTTTTTCTTGATCTTTTCAGCCTTGAGAACTATTTTTCTTTGAAAATTTTAAAGATTTCTTTATTTTTTATATATGAGTATTTTTATTGTATGTAAGTGGACAATGTACACACCTGATGCCCTCAGAGGTCAGAAGAGGGCATCAGGTGTAAGCATTGCAGCTCATAAGGAAAGGGAGCCTGGCCATGTGGAGCCAGGGAATAGCACAGACCACAGTAAGTGTAGCAGCTTACAGTCCTGCTCTAGGGAAAGGCTTCCCCAATGTAACAAGTCTGTTTCTGCAGGAGAGGACTTCCCCAGCGAAGTTGTTACAGCTCAGCTCTGGCCTCCAGAGTGGAACAACTCAGCTCTGCTAGGGGAAAGTTTCCCCAGCAAAAGTGTTACAGCCCCACTCTTCTCTGTCTCTGGCTTCCCTAGCAAAGCTGAAGTTGTAACAACTTGGAGCTCCTTGTTCTAGAGATTTCTTGGGAGGGAAGAACCAAGAGATTGGCTGCCTCTACCAGGTGGAAGAAGAGCAGCCGCAAACTGACAGGTGCAGGGCTTATATAGGGCTTCTTAGGGGCGGGTTTTCCCAGGGAGAAGAGGAATTGGTTAGATTTCCCTGCTCAGGGATTGATTAGTTTAGTTGGTCAGGGGCAGAGATAGCTGATTTCAGAGCCAAACTGTGTTTGGCCTTTTTAAGTTTTTTGGCTCTAGTTTAGTGTCTCAGATTCAAGGGCCACAGTGTGTTCCTTTGATCCTGGTTTTAGAGTTGGTGTATTTCTTTGGTTCTGGGTTCAGGGTTAAAGTATTAAACTATTCTTTCACTGGCTCTGGTTTTGGGGCCAATTTCTTTGGCTGGCCCTTTCCCCTACAATCAGATCCCCTGCAACTGGAGTTAGAGATGGTTGAGTCACCATGTAAATGGTGGGAACCAAACCTAGGTCTTCCGCAAGGACAGCCAGTGCTCATCTCTCCAGCACCCTATACACACACACACACACACACACACACACACACACACACACACCTTTTTTGCATAAGGTTTTCCTATATATAGCCCAGTAGGCAGCAGTGTGCCTCTATTATTCTTTGTGCTCAACATCTTTTTTCAAAAGGCTGCTTGTCACCTGCTGCTCACTCTCTAACCCACCAATGCCTAGGAATGTGCTCTGTGTGCTTTTCACAGACCCACAAGGGGGCTCCTCCGGTAGGTCATTTCTTGTGGTAAACCTTGTCTTTTGTCTCTATCCCACATGGCCTTCTACCTTTCTGGGCCCTTCTTAGAAAATGCTGAGACATGCCTGGAATTTCTAGTTATATTCCAGTGGGTGCGTTTATACAAAAGCTTTCAAGTTTAAGGCCAACAATCATTTGCTACATTTCTCCAGTCTCTGCCTCTGTGGTTATCCTTTTGAGTGTGTTTGTCTCTGATAAGGACACAGTCACTCCAGGTTAAGGTCTTGTCTTACTTCTGACTTCCATCTGCAAAGACCCTGTTTTCAAATACATCCTTAACATGCGCCCAGGGTTAGGACTTCACGCTTCAGAAGTACAGCTCAACCCACAGCAGTGACAGTTTTCCCTCCGTTCTTCCCTCTAACCAGATGTCCTTCACTGGCCCGTTCCATGGCCCTCGTTTCTGCTGATTCCCGAATTGCAGAGCTTCTCACAGAGCTCCATCAGCTGATCAAGCAAACCCAGGTAAGAGCGAGTGAAACACGGGCTGTGGCGCAAAGCTGTGTGGAGGTGGGGTCATGTTCAGAGAGACCACCATCAGCTAAGATGCTGGAAAAGGGCGGCAGGAGGGAGTCTTGTGTCTGACTGCCATTCCTTTTGGGTTTTCTGTCAAGTACAAGATTTCAGGGTTTCTTTTGTTTAACAGCGGTCTGAAAGACAGATCACATCCAACACAAAGCTCCTATTGAAGGCGTTCAATTTAGTGATTGTTTTAGAAATTTAGTCATACAGTGGTCACCACGGTCATCCTTAGACCTGTACCCATCAGCCATCACTCCTCTTCCTCCATCTCCAAACTCCAAAAAATCGCAGATGTTCTTACGAGGCAAGACAGTCTTAGACTTAGACTTAGAGTTAGCTTCCAGGATCTGGTCAAAGGCCAAAGCACTTTAGAATGTGTGGGGTTGAGACAACCCAGGCCTGCTGAGTTAACCCTCTGCTGCCCATGGCCACATATTTCTGGGCTTCAGATCAAATATGAAAACAAAACCAGTCTCCTTGCCTCAGTCCAGACAGATCACCATGCGTTACATACAGGAATCTGCCACCTCCCTTTGAGATAGGCGCAGCGGTATTTAGGATCATTCTTATTGGTGTCGACACAGCAGAGGTCGCTCTGTTAGCTGTTCAGGAGCAGCCCTAGTGCTTCACTGCATGACAAGTGCCCTGGAGCTCCATGAGACTCACATAAGTATGCCCTTGGGCTGCAGCAGTGAGGGCTTGTCTGTGGCTTCTCTAGCCTCTATCCGTTCAAAGTACCTAGCCTGCTCTGCTGAGTCAGTGTTTAAACCCTTTCTTTCCCCATGATGGATGGTTTTAGAATTACCTGGCATTTTTGCTGGTCCTGCCTGACTCTAGAGGCCCTCACCATTTCTAGATTGACCTTCCTTCTTGGCCTTTTTCCTGTGAGAGAGCTCAGGTTGATCATCTTATTCTAATGAACAAATCCTCTTCCTCTGAAGGCAGCTCCTCCTTCGTCAGGAATCTGTCTTGTCCCACAAGGCACAGGCCGTCATCTGCTGTGCCCAAAGCCCTTTCTGTCTGTGGGCCAGGGTTTACTTGGTGCTCGTGTTGCAGATATATGATGATGGCCTAGATGCAGTGACGTTCATACCAGAAAATGTGCAGTGCCCCATCCTAGGACTAAAAGGTGACAGTCACATGCACATTTGCTTGTCCTGCGTGTAGTACCAAGAACTGGATCTGCCAGGTGATAGCTAGTTCTCTACTCTTTTTTTTTTCAGGCTTGTTTTTATTTATGATTATGGTTGAGTGCCTGTCTGTATGTTTGTTCTTCTGGAATAGCAGCCAGTGCGCTTAACTGCTGAGCCATATCTTCAGCCCCATTGTGCTGTAAATCTCATTCCTCCTATATATTAAAATAGCTTTTCTTTCGTTCACTAATAAAGCATGGTGTGTTTGTGTCTGTGGCATACTGAGGCATGTTGAGCGTGCCATTGCTCAACATTTTGTCCATTATTGCCTTTTCAGACATTTGCTCATTGAAGTGTGTGTGTGTGTGTGTGTGGTTGTATTGTTTTGTTTTTGAGATAGGATCTTTCTATGTGGTCCTAGCTGGCCTGGAACTTGCTATGTAAAGTTGGCTAATCCAACTCATGGGGGGGCCTATTTGCCTCGGCCTCCTGAGTGCTGGGTTTAAAGTCATATGCCACCATATCTGGCTTATTGATGTTTATAGCCACACACTGGTTATTCTGCTGGACCGTGTGGTCCGGTGAACCAGGAGGGAGCAATTCCCAGAAACTCCTCTCCAGAACATACCCTTTGTAGTTGGTATTCCCCGAAAAATAAGGATCTGAATATTGGCGCATATTTGCTAAGTGAAAGATCGCAGTAGGTTATATGCTACACACACACACACACACACACACACACACACACACACACATTCCAACTGTGTGACAAAGTCCAGAAAAGACAAAGCTAGAGACAGTACAAGGGTGTTATTGTCAGAGCCTGGGAGAGGATAGGAGCTGCATAGAGTGTGTTTAGGGGTGGAACTCTTGGGTATGATACCGTAAGGATAGGTATTAATGAATCGTCTTTCAAAAGCCACAGACGGGGCAGTGTAACACAGAGGGAGCGTTTTGTTAAGGCGAGGGTCTACCTCATGGCCCCTTGACCTCATCCTTACAGGAAGAGCGTTCGAGGAGTGAGCACAACTTGGTGAACATCCAGAAAACCCACGAGCGGATGCAGACTGAGAACAAGAGTGAGTAACTGAGGGCAGGAGAGACAGGAGGTGGGAAGGGCTGAGACCAGGAACATGGCCTTACTGTGTCATCAAAGGGATTTTTGCTTGTATCTGCATGTTCTAAAATTGCTCTGTGGGATCATTGTTCTTTGGCTGAATGACCTAAAATGGCAGGGACTGATGGCCTTGCACCAAAAGACTCAGAGTCTCTCAGCTCAGGACTGGAAAAGCAGCCTTGAACTCACCCTTACCTTAGAGCCCATGGGCACAGGGCTTTTCTGAAGCAGAGTCACCCATGGCTTCTGAATATTCTCCAAGGCAGGTCACTTGTGCCTGGTGCTTTCTAACTCAGAATAGCCTTGGACAGTTCTTTCTTCTCCTGGTTCTCTGTACCTGCCGGGTATCGACAGGTGGCAGGTTAGAAGGTGCTTTCCAAGAATGGTGGCGGCATCTTTACATATGGAAATGTGATCCTGATGAACAGACAGGGAGCACTTTCTTAACGTGTGTCGGGGAGGCTGTAAATGCACGTGTATAGATGGCACGTGTATGTGTGCAGAAGAAGCCAACTTCATGTTTTGTTCTTGGACACCATTCCTTTTTTGAGATGGTCCACTATATATAACAGTCCTGGCTGTCATAAAACTCAGTTTTAAGCCAGGCTGGTCATGCCTGATTTGTTTTTGTTTCTGTTTTTTAAGTTTGGGTTCCTAAGTACTTCCAAGGCAAGTACTTTCCCTACTGAGCCATCTTACTAACCCCTTGGGAGCATGTTTGAACTCATAAAGCTAAGAACCCAGGCCCTGGCCTTGAGCCTCTGCGGGCTGATTCTGATGTCCTGGAGTCAGGGTTACATGTTGCCACCTCCTTTTGCTCATGTCTCCTCATGCTTGCGTTTATAGTTTCTCCTTATTACCGGACAAAGCTGCGTGGCCTCTACACAACCGCCAAGGCCGATGCAGAGGCTGAGTGCAAGTGAGTACCACCCACCGAGCTGCCCCTGCTCTGCCTCCCTCTTCCAAGCTCTTCCCTTCTACTTACTGCTCTATAGATGGCAGGGAAGCAGTGTCATACCCTGCCGACCATTTCCTGGCGTGTGAGCTGAAGTCGATTCAGCCGAAACTCCCTTGCCTTGTCGTTAAAATATAGGTAATGACTCTACTGGATTGTGAACATACCGTGGGGTTATGAGGGGAGAAGGCCAGATTCTGTAACCCATACTGACCCTCCCCTGCCCTGGGAATATGCTGACTATTGCAGCCTGTGATGGGAACAGGGACCACTGTGTGGCGCTGCTGTGCCTGTGATGGGAACAGGGACCACTGTGTGGCGCTGCTGTGCTCCTGCTACCATTCATTCGAAGTGGGTTTTTTTTGTTTTGTTTTGTTTTGAAACAGAATCACACAGTGTTGCTCTGCTTGCCCTGGAACTCACTACATAGACCAGGCTGGCCTCCAGCTCACAGAGATTGGCCTGCCTTTGCCTCCCTAATACTGCGATCAAAGATGTGTTCCACCATACCTGGCCCAAATACTTCGGTGTTAATTTACTTCACTTGATCCTCAAAGCACTCCTTTGATGTAGTTTTTAGGATTGTCCCAATTTACTGTTAAGGAAACAGCCTCATAGAGGGATAATAAAATCTGCCACAACTCGTACAACTAGTAAATGGCGAAGTCTGGTTCCTAAGGCAGAAGTCCACAGTTAGTACTCTGCTAGATGCTGACAGGGCTCTGCTTATTTTAAATGAACACATCTCATAGGACTCTGACAGAAGTCACAGTTAATGTGCCGTTATGTGTAGCCAGATCTCTTCACTTTTTAATGCAAGTTATAGGCAGAAATTTTTTTTATTGAGAATAAGAAAAAAAAAGTTTCCGCCTCCTCCCAGCCTCCCATTTCCCTCCCCCTCCCCCCGCTCTTCTCCCCCTATATAGGCAGAAAATTAATTGTCCTAATAAGTCTTGGTTTGCTCTTTTTAGTAATGGCTGCATGTTTAGGCCCCTAAGGAGCCAGCTGTGGGATAAGGACAAGAGTAGCCTGCCTGGCTCAGACACAAGGGAAGGGGGTTCACAAGGGCCTGAGTACCACAAGCTATAGGTTAGTTATTCTGTAGAATTACCCTCTCATGGGTGTATTTAGTGCTTCCTTGCTTCTAGATTCAGGTTTGACACTTGAGGCATTGGTAGCACAGTGGTAGCCTTCTATTGGAAGGCCCAAGATACTATGTCTCGTTACTTGATGTGGTTTCTCTCAGGTTCTGTTTTCTTCTGTGTAATTAGCAAATGTCTTATGGGGAGATGCTTTGTGACTGTTTGAAAATCCCATTTCATGTCACCAATTAGTTTGAGTATCCCGGTTTTTTTTTTTTTTTTAATATTTATTTACTATGTATACAGTGTTTTGTCTGCATGTATGCCTGCAGGCCAGAAGAGGGCACCAGATCTCATTGCAGGTGGCTGTGAGCCACCATGTGGTTGCTGGGAATTGAACTCAGGACCTCTGGAAGAGCAGTCAGTGCTCTTAACCTCTGAGCCATCTCTCCAGCCCTTGAGTATCCCTTTATGTTTTTTTTTTTTTTCTGAAGCATTGGACTGGGTTCTTGGTGGGGTTTGTTGTTGCTGTTTCTTTTGATGTAGACTGCAATTTTGGATGTAGGACATAAAACTATGAACTCTAAACAGGCCCAGCAGCAATATCAGCCTTTCACAGTATCTTTGGCCTCCTGACTGCCATTCTTTGTCTGCTTTCTGGGTGCCTCACTTGAGTCCCAGCACTCCCAGGCTAAAGCGTTGCTATAGGTTTGCTATGGAAACAGGATAAAATGACCCACAGTGGAGTTGTTCCTGCTGATTAAGGTTGAAGCCTTCTCTGGGAGACTTGGAGAACCTATATAGTGATATGCACTGCCGGCCTGCCTGCCAGCTTGGACCATCTGTAAATTGACTTCTGGAGGTTCAGGCTACAGGATTACACAGGAGTGGGAATGGCTTTAGTCTTATAGGAGCAAGTTCCTGTAACTGGGGCTATTCTGAGCTTGCCTGCTGTCTCTGGGGGTTCTGCTTCTTCTGCTACCTGGACCAGCCCTGGAGCCTCACTGTTATTTACTCCTTACTGTAATAAATCTCCCAGAAGAAAGCACTTAAGGACAGAATGGTTTATTTTAGCTTCCTGCTTTGAGAGGGTTGTCTGTCATGGAAGGAAAGGATGGCAGCAGGAGCGTGAGGCTGCTGGTTACACTGCATTGTACTGAGGAAGCAGAGAGCTAGGCCAGAGCACAGGTCTGCCCCTCCCCAGCCACTTCCTTTAGCAAGGCCTCGCCTCCTAAAGGATCCACAGCTCTGCAAAAAGCCACGCCTACTAAGGACCACCTGCTCAAACATGAGCCTATTAGGGATGTGAGGTGCTCAAATCTGATCTTCCATTCCTGTCACCTCAGGGCTGGGTCAGAACTTTGGTGGGGCTTCTACAGTGTTGGACAAGGCCGTATCAGTAACCTCTCAGAACGCCTGCTTTCTCCAGGGGTTGTCCTGACACTTTCTGCTACATTGCTCCTTATGCTTTTAATTGAAAAACAGAGTCGAGGCTATCACTCAGTGGTAGGACAGCTGCCTAGCTTTCCAGTGGCCCCGGGTTCCATCCTTAGCACTGAAAAAGTTCACAGTCATTAGTTAGTTAACTTTCCGAGCCCTGCCATTGGTGAGTCCCACCGTGAGTGTCACACAGCATTGACACTCGCTGTGGCTTCTGACACAATAGACATCCATGAACATGAAATGTACAGTGTAGCTGCCGGTGTCACATGTATTTGGTCAGAAGTATAATTTAGTAAATTTTTATTTGTTTTGTTTTGGTTTGGTTTTTTGAGACTGGGTTTCTCTGTGTAGCCTTGACTGTTCTGGAACTCTGTAGACCAGGCTGACCTCGAACTCGAGATCCACCTCCTTCTGCCTTCCAAGTGGGTGAAAGCACATGTGTAGGCTACTCGTTGATACTGGACGTCTTCCTTGATTATTGCCCACCTTAGTTTTTGAAACAGGGTCCCCCATGAACCGGAAACTGATGAATTTGGCCAGGCTGTTTGGCCAATGAGCTCCCAGGATCTTAGTGTCTCCACAATCACCCAGCACTGGGATTGCAGGCGCCATGTCTGGCTCTCAGATGGGTGCTGGGAATCTAACTCAGACTCTAAGTTGGCATAACAGGTCCTTAATTCACTGGGCCATCTCTAGAGCCTCTCCTTTTGTGTTTGAAGCAAGGTCTCACTCTAGCCCAGGCGGACCTGGAGCTCATTGTGTGGCTAAGACGGCATCAGACTCAACACAGGATTGCTGCCGCCTCCTGTGGGCCAAGATTACAGGTGTCAGCCACACCCAACAGCGTCTGGAGTTTCAGCATAGACTTGGTCTGGGAGCCCAAATTGCCAAGAAGCCTATGCTGAGTGCCTCACCCAGTACCCTTTTCTCCCTTCCCTGCCTAGCATCCTCCGCAAAGCGCTGGATAAGATAGCTGAGATCAAATCTCTGTTGGAAGAGAGGCGGATTGGTAAGTGGGAGAAAATGCAGGGCATTTCTTAACCAGGCCAGGTGTGGGTTTGGAGGAAAGCAGTTATGGCCCTGGCAGGCGAGGAGCATGGGGCATAAGTTGGTGGAGTCACCTGACAGCTGTCTGAGACAGACTCAGAGGCAGAGTTTGCCTAGGTCTCTGCCCAGACCCAGGTAATTGTGCCCCACCCCTCACACTGCCCTTGCTCACTTTAGCCAGGGCTGGTCACCTCTCTCCTTTCTACCACTGCTCCCTCTGTGGCATGCTTTGGTGAACACATTTGAAGCTGGGTTAGCCCTCGGCCTTATAGGTCTCCTTGGGTGCCAATGCCTTGGTTTCTTGACATCTGTCTTGCCCCAGATGCAACTCTTTTTCCCCTTAGTGTGATCACGGTACCATTTTTGTCTGTTTTCAGTTGAAGAGTGTGATGAGCCATGGCTGATGAGGCCAAGAATTCACACTAGATAATCTGTGCAGCGTTTGCTGAAATGCAAACACTAGTAGAAAGGAGATCACAGAAGGATCTCACTTCAGGAATTTTCATTGACCCAGCACGTTTACATATCCAGGGCCCTGGTCAGGAAACAGAATATAGGCTGCATCCTAGGACCTCCTTTTTAGTTCCTCTCCATGACAGTACCACTGTCCTGGCATCTCACCCACCTGAGAGTTAGGCCTGGCCATTCCCAACCTTAGATATCTGTTAAGAAGGGGCGTGGAAGGTTTGGGGATCCTGGTATAACGTGGTCTAGCTCAGAGCCGTTGCTCTGATTGGGTTAGGCACCATCCACAAGGCCTCAGGGCTTCCCTTGCTTCCCACAGCGGCCAAGATCGCAGGTCTCTACAATGACTCGGAGCCCCCACGGAAGACCATGCGCAGAGGGGTCCTGATGACACTGCTGCAGCAGTCGGCCATGACCCTGCCCCTCTGGATCGGGAAGCCTGGTGACAAGTGAGGGCGGGAACTGGCCAGAGAGGGCTGGTGCCAGGGGCCCAGACTAACAGGCTTTCTCTCACAGGCCCCCACCCCTCTGTGGAGCCATTCCAGCCTCAGGGGACTATGTGGCCAAACCTGGAGACAAGGTGGCTGCTAGAGTGAAGGCTGTGGATGGGGACGAGCAGTGGATCCTGGCTGAAGTAGTCAGTTACAGCCACGCTACCAACAAGTGAGTGTGTGCCCGGCCACATGCTCACCACGCCGGCTTCTGCAGCCCCTCTTCGTCCTCTCTCCTGCTTCCTCCTGGATGCAGACTGTGTCCTTTGTTCCAGCACTGTTTCCCTTTGGTTTGCCCACAGGTATGAGGTAGACGACATTGATGAAGAAGGCAAAGAGTGAGTGTCCAAGTGGGGAGCAGTGGAGTTACCAGGCTTCTAGGAGAAGCCTCCCTGGTCACGGCCTGTATTTTCCCCCAGGAGACACACCCTGAGTCGGCGACGCATCATCCCACTGCCCCAGTGGAAAGCTAACCCTGAGACAGACCCTGAGGCCTTGTTTCAGAAGGAGCAGCTGGTGCTAGCCCTATATCCCCAGACCACCTGCTTCTACCGTGCCCTGATCCACACACCCCCACAGCGGGTAAGGAGCCACCGTAGAAGGTCTTGGACACCAGAACCTTAAGGGTTTCCCCCATCTTTCTTCAGGATGCCTGCTTGCTGCCTTGTAGCCCTTTATCTCCTGAACATAGGCTTTCCTGGTAGCACCAGGAAGAGGGTAGAGAGGAAGGTGGGAGAGGTGGGAGATGCAGCTGGGGCTCTGGGCAAGGAGAGGCTGCCCTGGCCTAGAAGCATCTTGACCAGGCTTCCTGTGTGTGCCCTACAGCCTCAGGATGACTACTCAGTCCTGTTTGAAGACACCTCCTATGCAGATGGCTACTCCCCTCCTCTCAATGTGGCCCAGAGGTACGTGGTGGCTTGTAAGGAGCCCAAGAAAAAGTGAAGCTGGCTGGCAGGCTTGAGTCTCATGGGAAAAGGCAGCAAAGGAGTTCCTGTAATCAAATAAATACTCTTCCTCTCACCATGTCTCCTGGGCCTCACTGCTTCAGACCCTCTTGCCCTCCTCTGTCAGACACATGGGATTGATGGCCACAGGAGGGAGAAGGCCCAGTCATTTATTCTTTCAGGTAAAATACAGTTTTTGTCTTCTTCTCTTGCATGTTTGGGTTCCTTTTCACTGCGCGGATGGATTGCTTTCCTGACACATGTTGATAAAGCCCTCTTCATTCGTGTACGTCCCCAGTCCTAGTCATTCTGTTGGCTCAGATTTCCTGTAGGCATACAACATGGATGCATCATATTTCATTCTTGAGGTCATAATGGGTTATGTCAGCTTACCCCCATTCCCAGGATAGCCATATCCACTTACAGATTGCAACGGAATTTGAGATTGCAGCCTCTCATCATCTTAGCGTAGTGGGCATCAAAGCGCTCATTCTGAGCTACAGTGAAGGTGTTTTTCCAGTCCCCAGTGGTACCTGAAGAGGGAGAGAGGGAGAGAGACTGTAGTCACAGCCACAGGACCCATGGGACTGCAGCTTTATTGGCTGCATCCGGCCTCCCTTCCCCAAATCCTCCAAATGCCCATCCAGGCTACTACCTACCTTTCCTCATGAAGGGAGAAACATCATGGTCCATGACTGCAGAGGGGAGAGTGGTGTAGTTAGCCATGGGGTTCTCCTTCATTTTCTTGAAGGATGTGTGGTGAACAATGAGATCCACAGTCTCCTCAGGCAAAGAGCGCCCCAAAAACTCCAGGACCTTCTTGATCTCCCTTTTTGGATTCTGAAGCATAGAGATGATCTCTGGGTGTTCATTGGGATAAAGTTGGGAGAGCACCCATAGGGAGCAGGCCACTTCTACCAAGGAATTCTCAGACCTGACCCCTTGACTGTGAGCCTCTTGCCCTGATGTAGAGTAGGTAGCTTCCTACACTGCCATCTTGGCATGATCTCTGTGGGTTCACTCTGGGAGAGGACAGGGACAGATTTTGATCTCTGGTGTCCAGACTTGGAGCAGGAAGAAGCAAGAGCAGCAAACCACCAGATCAACAATGGCGCATGAGTGACACCTGCTCCAAGATAAAGGCTGTGCAGCGCCCTCTGATGAGCTGCACTGAGGGTCTAGCCAGGAGGTAGGATGGGAGGGGCTGGTCTGGGCTGGGGCCAGGACAGGACCAGGTGAGTGATGCTCCTGCCTGTGACACAGAAGGAAGTGGCAGCAGGCAGTCTCACCTCCTTCATGTCTTCATAGAAGAGATAGAGAACAGGGTGAGAGCGCGTCAGCTCCCACCACTCCTTCACGTGCTGGTACCACGACCCATAGGACACTGGGGAAGGGAATGGGGCAGAGACATGCCTGTCAGCTCCAGCTGTGCCCTGAGCTCCAGCTGTGCCTTCGGCTCCAGCCCCCTCCGTGCTACAGACTCAGGTTCACCTTTCCCCTCCATGAAGTTCTCCAGGAAGCTGTCCCAGGTGCCTGGATCAGGGTGCACCTTGGCCATGTTGTAGAAGTTATAATAGGAGACGGCCACGTCCTTTGCATTTCTGGCAATGTAGATCACCTGCAGGGACAGACAGTCCCTAGTTCTGGTTCCTCCTTTCCTATCACCCTGCACAGGACCCAGAGAGGTGCTGTGCCTTCTAGCACTTGGGAACTCTCAGCATTTCTTTTGGGGATGGCAGAAAAGAAAATAGGACTAGAAGCTGACTTGTTGGGATATGGTAGGGGTACCATTGACCTAAGATTACACCTTTATTGCCAACACATCCACATAGTAGGTTAGAGTTCCACCAGCCCCTTCATCTATGTCCTGTGTGTAGCTGGACTTTGCATCTCTAGTTTACACTGAAGAAGTCCATTTTCCTTGTTATCTGACAAGGAAACAAGGGTGACAGCCAGAGACCCTCCATACAGGATGAAACAGGGCTTAAGTAGCCCCAGGAGTTCCAGCAGAGCAAACCAAAGCTAGAATGACCCCAGGGGCCCCTTGCGTCCTTTCACCTTCCCTTCCCTCCCTCCCTCCATCTGTCCTTCCCTTCTTTCTTTTTCCCGTGTTTTTGAAAGAGGGTCAGATACAGCTCAGACTGGTCTTGAACTTGCTGTGTAGCAAACACTGGCCCTAAACTCCTGGTCCTTCTGCCTCTACTTCCCAAATGCTGGAAGGTACTACCGTAACTGGGGTTTTTGTTGTTTGTTTTTACCTTGGTCTTCTGATCCAGCAGACTCTGAGGGAGCAAGGACAGTGGCAGATGTGTCTTAAGGAGCCGCGGGGCTGGTGTCTCCGCCAAAGAGTCAAGACCTAAAGAGAACTTTGTTAAGCTAGGGCTTGGTCTTACCTCTCTCCACTTGTGTCTAGCACCCTAATGCTCATACCTGAGGGAATTCCCGGGCATCCAAACTCAAGAAAGGGCACCCGGGCATAGATGGGGGCCCGGAGACACTTTTCTACCTTGCCTCCCTGGTAGATCATATCCAGGATCTCACTCATCCAGGTAGTACCTGGAAAGAAGGGAATACAGAGTCTGGACCTGCTTGCCAAAATGAGGCCTATAGGACATTGGGGGACCCTCTGTTGCTTACCAGACTTTGGGTATGTGCTGATAAGCAAGTCATCAGACCAGGGAGTGAAGTTCTGCAATGGCCCAAGAGCCTCCGCAAAATATTTGATGAGTGGGATACCCTTCACATACACCAGTGGTGGACGGGTGATATCCTCAATCAACTCCATGTTGCATCAACTGCATTGAGAACAGTGAAACTCACTTTTTTATTTTTAACAAGTTCACAATACTGCAGATTCTTGCTTTAAGATTGGGATCCTGGTCGGGCGGTAGTGGCGCATGCCTTTAATCCCAGCACTCAGGAGGCAGAGACAGGCGGATCTCTGTGAGTTCGAGGCCAACCTGGTCTACAAGAGCTAGTTCCAGGACAGGCTCCAAAGCTATAGAGAAACCCTGTCTCGAAATCCCCCCTCCAAATAAAAAGATTAGGATCCTGTCACTGGGCAATGGTGGCACACACCTTTAATCCCAGCACTCGGGAGGCAGGGCAGGTGGATCTCTGTGAGTTTGAGGCCAGCCTGGTCTACAGAACAAGTTCCAGGACAGGCTCCAAAGCTACAGAGAAACCCTGTCTCAAAAAAGAATAAGATTGGGCTCCTGAGGCTCTGAGAAAGTCACTTCTGTGCTGTGTCACTGCTCACCTGCAAACTTTCTGTGTCCCTGGGTCCCAAGCATAGTCCAGACATTAAAGCACTCTGAGGTAGAACCAAAACAGTGCTTGGTATTTTTGGATAGATACCAGCATGTACTGAGGACACTCGGGGAAACAGCCCTGTGTCTCTTACACTTCCTGGTGCAGCTGGATGGTCAGCCCATGCACATGTGCCTCTCCCCGTTTTTTCCTCCTTCAGAAACGCCCCAAACCATCTATACCTATTTTGCTCAGAGACAAGCATAACCGGTTTAGCTACCAAGCTTGTTGCAGGCTGGGGAGAGATTTTCTATTTAAAAGGATTCTAAAACCAGCCAGGGAAAAGAGGGGAAACTCAAACAAGCTACAGTTGCCCTTCTGAGGTGGAGTATGCGCGGGGAAAGGAGAGCAGTTAGAGGCCCAGTCAGGGGTTCAAATAGACTAATGAAGACGGAGCAACTATTTGGCCTTTGAATGTTGGAACCGGTAGCTGGGCAGGACTATGGGGGCCACCCCACCCTGCCACTCACCTGGTTCTGAGCTCTGAGCCTCACTGCCCCGGTGCACAGTGGTAGGGATCTCTCTATGTGGGTGTTGCCATGTAAGGAACGCACAGTTGGACTCAGCTGAATATTTTGTAGGACCCAAGTGGGAGGGAGTAGAAGCAGTGGTAGGACTGGCTGTCCTCCCAGAAAACGGGGGCGGAGGGGGTGGAGACGGGGCGGAACCCTGTAACCCCCACTAATGGACTATGGGTTTAGCCTGGAGAAACAAGAGGAAAAAAACCCAGAAGGTTAAAAGGAAAGTTAGTGTTGTTTTTGCATTGTTTCTGGCTCCTTCCTTACTTTAAACTTCAGGGTAGATCAACAGACAATTGACACAGTCTAACAAAGGGAGGGAGGTGGCCAGATGAGGGCAAGGCTATTCACATTCCTGCTGGCTCCAAGCCAGTCTTGAGGACATTTTCAGTCCAGATCTGAGCAACCACAGCAATACCGCAGTTGTTGGTGTGCTCAGGGAAAATCCAGAATGATTAGAGGGAGCAGGGTCAGTGACCTGGAGGTGCAGCAAAGTAGGAAGGCTGTTGAAAGACCTGGGGTCTAAAGGCCCTGCAAGGTGCCCTGTCTCGTGGCTGCTGAGCTACCTCACCCAGTACTTACTACTCGTGACTGGTGAACAACAGTCCCCAGAAGGGTTTTTATCCTTTTTTTTTTTCTTAACTTGCAAACAGCTCTGCAGACAGGAAAAGGCTGCAGCTGGGAGAGTTATAAGGCCCCAGGAAGGGGAAGAACCCTGCCCTCTTCTTGATCTTTGTCTTCTGTTGGGATGAAGATGCAGCAGCAAGCTGCTCTGGAGCTTCAGAGGCTCTCTGCATCACAGATGTGCATCTGCTGACCCTTGCAGAGTTGTAGTCTCAGAGGAGAGCTGTGGCAAGGCAGGCAACAGAACCCTCCAGGAACGACTTAATTTCCATTTCTTGCTGGGCAGTTGTTGCGTGGCCTTTAATCGTAGCACTTGGGAGGCAGAAGCAGGAGGATCTCTGTAGTTTCGAGGCCAGCCTGGTCTACAGAATGAATTACAGGACAGGCTCAGAAAGCTAAAGAGAGCTGGGTCATGGTGGCACATGCCTTTAATCCCAGCATTTGGGAGGCCTGTGAATCCCTGTGAGTTCGAGGCCAGCCTTGTCTACAAGAGCTTGTTCCAGGACAGCTAGGACTGTTACTCAGGGAAACCCTATCTCAAAAAACAAAACCAACAAACAGACAAACGAAAAAAAAAGCTACAGAGAAAGTCTATTTTGAAAAAAAGTTTCATTTCTCTAGGGGAAGGTATAAACTGATGGCATTGGTGAGGTGTCTTCTCCAAGGTGTGGATGAGGGGAAGGTTTTTATTGTAGATCTGGGACAGACTCAAATCATGATTTCTTTGACTTTGATATTGTGATTACTTACAGGACTTTAGAGATAGGGCCATAAGCATAGGGGTATATTTTCCTAAAAGGGATAAGACACATAACCTCTACCCATGGCCTTAAACATTTCATGAAAAGGAGTCAGCCTTGGCCCTGAGCACGAGGCTGTGGGGCAGTGTGCCTGTGTGGATGCTATGCAGCCTTGTTGTTGCAATGTAGCAAGACTGCCAGCCACAGTTGTAGGGGACAGATTACCCCAGTAGGATTTCAAACACTGAACAGAGAATCTGGGGTTAATTGCTATGGCTGGAGAGGTTAACAATACCCCCCCATGCTGCATACCACCCTGCCCCTTCCCATGCTGATGGGTGTGTTCCCTCCGCCTGCCCTGGGGGCTGTGTGCCTCAACTTCTGATCAAACCTGACCAAGGTTTGGCTCCACTGGCCAAGAACTCTGGCTATAGGTGTTGCTTCATTGGCCATGTTGTAACATTATAGCCTGACTTTCCTCCACCAGAGCTGCTTTGATCATTCAGAGCCAATGTGTTATAAATATCTGTCATCATTTATAGGGGCTGGTTACAAATTATTATTGGTTAATGTATGAAAAAAAAACTTACTGTTGGTCTCAAATGTTTCACACTGATACAAGAATTTATGTGATGTAAATTTAAAAGTTCTTTTGTTATAGTATGTGCATATTTCTGTTCTTGTTTAAAATATTGTAGCCATACAATATATCATACACCACTGAGGAAAACCACAAGAAAGCCTTCAGTAAGAGTTTTTATGTTGTCTAAAAAAGTTATAAAAGGTCAAAGCATTAAAAATATTAACTAATGGTTTAAAATGTATTTATTTTGCTGTGCGGTGGTGGTGCACGCCTTTAATCCCAGCACCCGGGAGGCAGAGGCAGGCGGATCTCTGTGAGTTCGAAGCCAGCCTGGTCTACAAGAGCTAGTTCCAGGACAGGCTCCAAAAAAAAAAAAAAAAAAAAAAAAAAAGCTACAGAGAAACCCTGTCTCAAACAAAAAAAAAAAATGTATTTCTTTGTTCAAGGTCTATTAAGGCTTAAAAATGTATATTTAGCCTCCTTGTCTTTGCTGACTTTGTTGGGTTTAAGCTATTTGGATAAACTGAGTCATAATTTTTGTATTGATACTAAGAGGTTTGGACCTCCTCTTCTGGGGAAAGAATGTTTCTCTGCCAATCACTCTGGGGTAATTAGAGATTCAATGGCCTTGTTAATGATAGAGAACAGAATACTCACAGGGAAGCTGGATGAAAACTTATTCAGCTGGTCTCCTTGGTTAACCACTTTACTTTCAGCTCTAACAGGTCCCTAATGATCTTGCTTCTTCCCAGGGCAGCTTTCCCAGGGCAACTTGGTACACACCTGCCAAGATGGGTTCTATAGATTAGCATTTGACCTAGGGCAATGCTAGTTCTTAAATTCCTTCCTGTTCCCATTTCACCTTGGGACCTGTTCCTTGCCTTTGCAGGAGACAGCATTAACAGCTAGATATAGCTGTTCTTGTCCTGTGTTTACCCTCGGAATGACTAATTCAGTTTCTTTATTACCTTTAATTCAGAATTATTACAGAGTATAGAGTTCTAGTCTTGTGAAAGCTGCTAACTTATAGACTGTTAAAAAATACAAGGCAGTCAGTCATCTTTAAAGTACTGATATAATCAGTTACAGAAACAGGCCTTATTTAGTTCCCTGTATATGTTTTCAAAGTCAAAACAAGTAATGAAAAGCAAAGTTTGTCTAATCAGACATACGTAGGCAGCCCTCATACTTCAGAGATCTGCTGAATATGGCATTTAAAATAATGATTAACAAGCTTGCTGGGCAGTGGTGGCGCACGCCTTTAATCCCAGCACTCAGGAGGCAGAGGCAGGCGGATCTCTGTGAGTTTGAGGCCAGCCTGATCTACAAGAGCTAGTTCCAGGACAGGCTCCAAAGCTACAGAGAAACCCTGTCTCAAAAAACCAAGAATAAAAATAAATGAATAAATAAGCTTATTGTATTAGAGACTCTGAGATCCTAGCAGGAACCCAAGGTCTCCAAAGATTATGGGACACCATGATGTCTCCACCTGGATTATGCTGACCACTGGGCAAGATACCCCAGTGCAACAGTTGCTGCTAGGACCCTGTCCAGACTGTGGACAAACAGCAGGACATTGGAAAATTGATTGCACCACTTTTTCCTAAACAAAATAAAGTCAGTCTTTTCCATAGGAAAAATATTCACCTTACGGGCCTGGCTAAGACTGTAAGACTGCTGTTCTGGATACTTCTGCCATGCTGTGGAGACCTGGGTATGACTAACTGTTTATGGACATTTTTAATAGATTTGGAAACTATTTGGTCTGTACTCAGATATACTTTATTTATCCTTCTGAGATCTCTGATAGTATTAATAGTTAGGGCAGTTATAATGTCAGTTTAACAGCAAAAGATAGCCAGATTTCTTCCACAAAGCTATAGCCAACTTGGTAGCTCATTCTAAAGCCACCATACATGGTTCTCTGGACAGAAGAAAAATATACATGCTTCTAACCAAAGTCTGTAGCTTTTGCTAGGACTCAAAGGTATGAATCTATTCCTTCTGTTTACAGATACCTGTTATCTGCTCTTTTTCTAAATTTTAATTTCTGTTCCTAGCTTAAACTTACCTCAATAGGCTTCCACTTGCCTGGCAGACGCATCTAAGCATCAGCTGCTGACTACAACCTGCTCTGAACAGTGGCGAGCCCTAAACTTCCTAAAAGCTGATGTGGACCAGTCCAGCTGATATGAACACCCCCTCTCCCTTCAACAAAGTATGATGAGTGCCCTGTTGCCTAAATTTCCTCCCTACCTTTGGCTAGCCATTCAACCTACTTGGACCCGGATAACAATGCCCCAATGTCAGCTTGAAGTAGTTGTGAAAAGGAACACATCGTCCGGTGCTCCCTGTAATGATTGTTCTGTCTCTTTGAGACAAGCCACGCCCACTCCCTCCCCCATCCACTGAGGCAGGCTGATGATCTTCAGCTTCTGGCCTGAGCTTGCTCTCTTTTTCTGTCTTCCTCTCGGAGAGGCAGCTTCTGCCTCTCTCCCCACTTCTCCCCTTCCCCCTCTTATGTCTCTCTCTCCTCTCTCCTCTCTCTCTCTGCTCTTCTCCCCTTCTCCCTAACCCCTCGAATGAATATCCAACCTCACTCTGCATGGCGTGTCTATCCATGTCTCTGTCTCTTGCCCCTCTGCCACATGTCTCCCTGCCTGGGACCAGCCACTGGTTGGGGACCTGCAGCTGTCTCTGCCTGGGATTGGCTGCTCTCGGGTCCCCGCTGCCTGCTGCCACATGGCCCGCCACCACCGCTTGGGGACCTACAGCATTTCTGCTGCCTACTGCCGCTGGGGATCCTGCAGCATTTTTAATTTTTCCATTACAGGATCACCTGCCAGGATACGCTCAACAGGGCACTCCTAGACAAAGTCAGCCAATCAGGGGCCCTGAACCTTAAGAAACCCCTCACCCCCACCTCTACTACTATAAAAACCCAAGTCTATCTGAGCTCAGGGCTCTCCGTTTATTCCAGTACGTTGGACATGCAGAGAGACCGAGTTTGCAAACTTGCATAAAATAAAGGCTCTTTGCTTTTACATAAGGGATTCTGTCTCCTTGTTGATTTGGGGGGGGGGGACTTCGCAGATTTGGGCATAACGCTAACTCTGGTCATATTTAGCTAGCTTTCTTTTGTGGGTATGGGTATTTGACCTATGTGTGTGCTTGATACATGCAGAGGCCAGGAAAAGGAGTTGGATCTTCTCGAACGAGTTACAGATGGTTGTGAGCCACCACGTGGGTGCTGGGAATCAAACACAGCCTCTCTGGATTAGCAACCAGTAGAGTCAGGCAAGGGGATCATGCATTTAAGGATCATGCATTTAACACCAGCACTCAAGAAGAGGAGGTAGGTAGGATGACATAGTAAGACTCTTTGAGACAAGGTCTCTGTAGCTCTGGAACTCACTATGTAGACGAGGCTGCCCCCAAACTCACAGAGATCTGTCTGCCTCCCAAGTGCTGGTATTAAAGTTGCGTGCCTGTCTGAGGCTGTCTTTAAATAAATAAATAAATTTGGTTTCTAAGAAACACCTCATTGGCAATGACACATACACAGACTGAACAGGAAGGGATGGCAGTCAAGAGGCCAGTATGTATTAATAAAGGAAACAGAACAGTTGTAAATATATATGCATCAAATGTTGGGTTTTCCGGTTTTATAAATAGTAGTGGGTATAAACGGGCAGATGGGTCCAGATACAATAATAGTAGATGATTCCGATACCCAGTCGTACCAATAGGTATGGCATCCAGACTAAAAACAAGAAAAATTCAGTGTTACATTTAAATGACATCTAGACAAAATTCCCACCCAAAGCTATAGAATACATGTTCTCTAAAACTGCTCACATCTTAGTCCAAAAGCTAGCTCTCTCCACCATGTGGGTCAGGGGGTTGAGGTCAGGTTGTTTGGCTGGGGACAAATGCATTCACCCAATAAGCCATCTCAGTGACCTGTTTTTTTAATCTGGTTAATTGGGGTTTTTGTTTTTTCATATCTTATAAGATCAGACTGGAATAAAGCAAGGTAAATGACAAGAACTTACAGAAACCCTACAGGCAGGTGAGGTGGTGTGTGCCTTTTATTCTAGCTCTTGGGAGGCACTGTAGATAGATCTCTGAGTTCATGACCAGTCTGAGCTATGTATCAAGTTCCAATACTGCCTTAGAGAGACCCTGTCTCAAACAAAGGTACTACACAGATACAATTGAACAATAGATTTTAGAAAAACCAGTGTGCATTGAGGAAATCGGAGAGGGCTAATAGGTTTCTCTGCTGATGCACTGAATGGGATCAGGACTAATTGAAAAACTATAACAACAGGTTTATTTGAGCAAAGCAACTCCCAAGTGGGTTCTTCAGTCCCAGAGATCAAGGCTGGAGAAGCCACCCCCACAAAAGAAAGCAGGGAGACTATAGATTGTAGGCGAGAGGTGATGGCATGTCCACTACAAGCGGGGGTTGTGGCCAAGTATGGTCAAAGGCTGAGCATTTTAGTCAGGCACTTGGGCAGCTGGAAACATCAGGGAGGAAGCTGCAGTAGCCGGTAAGAATGGGGAACTGGACTTTCCTTCAGAGGCTCTCTGAGCGGGTGAGGTTTGGAGGGAGAGACAGGAATGGGGCTTTCCTGATTCTGCAGGAGCGAGCTGGAGGTTCCAACAGAACAAGGCTATTTAAAAACTCCTAGGAATTGGGGGTGGGGCTAACTGGTGGAGTTCTTGCCTAGCATTCATGAGACTGTGCACCGCAAGGCTTAGAAGAAAGTCCACCCACAAACGAGTAGATGAGAAGAACAGGACAGGAATTAAATAGATGGAGCCTGGAAAAACACAGGGTCAATGAACCTGCCATGGGTTGGTCGTGGAAAGAGAAGACTGACGTTGTTAGTCATACAAGTCAAGAGAAACAGAAGGATCAAGTAAAATTGAGGATTTTTCGGTAGTGGTAGAGGATGTCCCAACACAGCCACCAGCAGCCTACCGTGCTCCTATCGGCCTTAGGGACAGCCACTAGGTAAGGTCAGACCCATGCCTGCTTCAGGAAAGAATTGTAGGATGAGTCAGAGTGAGGCGGTTAGTGAGCTTATTATGTATTGAGGCAATCACATAGGAAAAGGACAATATACATCCCATGACCTGGGCGTGGTCTACTTAAAGAATAGTCATGTGTAGATTTCTTTTTTTTAATATTTATTTATTTATTTATTTATTTATTTATTTATTATGTATACAATATTCTGTCTGTGTGTATGTCTGCAGGCCAGAAGAGGGCACCAGACCTCATTATAGATGGTTGTGAGCCACCATGTGGTT